TCGACCATCATAAAGTGTCTTTCTAGTTGTAGTGCTACCGGCGGTGGGTTTGGTGATCTCTATAACAGAATGATCCGTGTTTGCATTCACTTGTTTGTCTCGTATTTTAGTTTCCGATCCGATGCTAGCTCCTGCAATAATTTCGCTGCCCCCTGCCGCACTGTCAGGTTGGTCATTCACTTCTACTTCGACATTCTCTTTGCTTATATATTTTTGATGGCTAATTTTCGAATCTATATCTATATTTTTCATTAGAGTCTTTTCTATGGTTTTGCTTTTTTCTTAAGTGTTTTATTATATGCAGAGTTGGATGTCTCTTTTGCTGCATTTGCTCCGCCATCATCCGATTTCTTCCTGCATTCAAAATCTGGTTGTTGTTTTCCTGTTGAGTAAAAAATTACTAAATAAATATGGTTTAGTATTGCTTTGTAATATGCATTCTGTTTATATTTAATACTAGCCAAACCCCGCTTACTTCGCGGCGCCTAATAAGAACTGTTGCGTTGGCCAATGCAAAAGAGCGTTTAAAAGAAAAAAAGTCTGTAAAGTCAAAATTTTTGGTTTAAGTTGAGACCACTAAGGCGCACTCATAGGCCAATAATAGTAACGCTGTGATACCATATGGAATACCAATCCCTTTCGGTGTCATGAGCTTCACCGATGGTCTTATTTCCACCTGTGAGATCTCTGCCAAGCAAGTGTAATCTTTTTATGATCTTACAACTACAACATTGGTGCGATGCGTATGCCAATAAAAGTTCTTATAAGGAAACTCAAGAGCACAGAAGTGCGTTTTCTGTTATAGGAGGGCCAAGAATCCTCGCTGTCCCACAGGATGAAAAGTTTTCCGGTACATTGGCTAAATGAGTCGTGTGATCTCTTGAATATCTTTCAAATGATCTTTCCTTGTTAATTCGCCACTTTTACAATTCGTGGTAATAATTATGAACGGATTTCTAGGTAGATGAAAGATCGCATGATCGTGCATGAGGGCGTCAGACAAACTCAACACCATCCTTCATTTAGTCATCTAAAAAATAAATTCGAATAATTTAAACATAGGGCCAAAGCAGACCAACCACAAGGGGTTTCTACACATTTCGTATGCAGCGCCATCCATTTTCTGCAAAACCGTTGCTTACCATAAAATCAATACGTTTTATGAATTTCAATCTCGACTCCAGCGGCACTCATCGGGTAAATTTTTATCAAAAGAATTTTCCATCATACAGGTACATAGCTCACATTTAAAATTTGAACGAAATCGGTTACTAAATACGATTTTTAATAAATAACTCTACTCCAGCACCAGCTGTGCCAAATTTCAGAAAGTTAACGTGCGCGTTTCTAGAGATAAGTGAAATTAGAAGCATGGCGGTGCCACGCCTCCTTTTCCATTACTTACCACTTTTCGCCATAAGTACGGTATTGGGCGCGTTTATAAGATGTAGCTGTTGCCAAACCGTTGGTTATTTGTCTTAGAAACACACAGTTGAGTAGTTCCGCTCAGCTCAACAGCGGAACCTGAACTCAACGTGTTGGGCTTAGCCTAAACAGCTGAACGAAAAGACTTACGCCGCTTATACTAAATTTAACGCCGCTTCGCTAGGTGGCAGTTACAAACAAATTTATTATATTTTATATTAATGATGTGATAAAATAACTAGAATATTTTATAATAATACTACGTTTCTAAATATTTGTTTTTAAGATGTTTGCTATATAATTTTACACTGTTTAGTTTCATTGAACGATTTTTTCAACACGGCGGCAGCTCAGCGTTGAATTCTAAATACTATCCGCGCAACTATCTATATTTATTGCGATTTCATTTGTTTACATTTATCAGCTGTCCATTTGGTAGCAGATTCATCAAGCCGTTTCTAAGACTTACTTGTAGGGTTCAACAGTTGCCAGAAGCTTCGTAGCAGATGAGCTAAACAGCTACGTCTTATGAACGCGCCCATTGATAACGTATCTGTGTCGTACGCTGTGTCGAATTTCAGGACGTTAGCGTAAGCGGTTCCTGAGATAAGCTATATGAGAAGTTAAGTTTGTATGGAAGGTGCCACGCCCCCTTTTCCAATACATTTGCAATATATGCATCAGTGCTAAGTTTCAATTCCCCAGAGTAATTGTGTTTAGAGGTATATTGGTTTTTTGCGTTTTAGTCTCTAAAAGAATTATTAAAGAATATGTTCCAAATATGAACCAAATCGGTGCAGCCGTTTAGTAGTTTAGTGAAATAAATTGTACAGAGAACTGTATGAAATTGTAAAGCGTGACGTCTCAGATTTATTAATTTTTTTGGCAGCAACAACAAAAAGTATTTGATTTTTTAGCGAAAAACCTTCCACACAGAAGTTCCAAAAACACACTTAATAGAATGTCAATAAAATTAAGTTTGTGGTTATATCAAGGCGAAATTTTGA